TCCACATGGACTCCCCTCGGTGGACCGTTCAAACCCAAAAAACCCAAAAAACATACCGTGCGAATCCACTGGACCCGAACAGACGGGATGAGCATGGACCCCACCATCCACCCGTGGATTTACCCGAACAACGGCCCCCAAAAGCCGGGTTGGGGATCAGCTTAACAACCCCACTTCCACAGGCCCAGAGACACGCCGCGCGGCTTTTCCGATGGGATCGAGGCGCCTGCCGGCGGGCCGCTTCGCTGAAGTTCGCCTCGAAGGGCCCTGGCCTGCGGCTCCTGGCAGGCGAGCGGGGGCGGGGGGGAGGGGTTGATGGGTGGGTTTGGTGGGTTCACCAGGATGCGGACAAAAAACAGGTTGGGTGGGTGGGTGGGTGGGTGGACAGGAGGGTACTAGTACCTGAAGACCCAAAATGTCTCATAGTAATGGGTACTGTTCGGGAAATCCTTGGCTGAACATTGTCCGAGGCGAGAAATGGATTGGTTTCCTCAGCGGTTTTCCGCTACAATGAACTAAGACGAGGTTCCCAATTTTGAGGTATACCGTAGCCGATGCATTGGCAAGAGTTCGACCCCTTTGGAGTGCAAACTGAATTATCAACCAGCTTGTTAAGCTTTCCAAATCAAACAACAGTCGATATACAGTGTGTATATATATATATATATATCATCATAATGCATGCATGCATGGCATACATGCATACCTACATACCTACATACCTACATACCTACCTACATACCTACCTACATACAGACATACATACATACATACGTACATACGTACATACGTACATACAGACATAGAGACATACAGACATACAGACATACAGACATACAGACATACAGACATACAGACATACAGACATACAGACATACAGACATACAGACATACAGACATATAGACATACAGACACACACGCACGCACGCACGCACGCACGCACCCACACACACACACAGACATACATACATACATACATACAGACATACCGACATACAGACATACATACATACATACATACATACATACATACAGACATACAGACATACAGACATACAGACATACAGACATACAGACAGACATACATACAGACATACAGACATACAGACATACAGACGTACAGACATACAGACATACCATACATACACACACATACATACATACATACATACATACATACATACCTACCTACCTACATACATACATACATACATACATACATACATACATACATACATACATATATACATATACATATACATATACATATACATATACACATACACATACATACATACAGATTGCCATTTTTTAGGTTGCTTTTGTGGGTTGCTTTCGTGTGTAGAGTCATTGCGTTGGGAAGTTGGGCATGCATGGTTTTCGATCTTGATCTCCCTGCCACCGTCCCATTCTGTTTCCAGAGATCCTGAGACGGCCCGAACTTGATTGCTTCTCATGGAAACCAGGGTTGCGACGTTCTCAAAACTGCCAACTCCCATTCTGGTGGCACCAAAGGGAGACGCAAGGATGCCAACCATTTGGAAGCGTTCCCAACTTTGACATGGCTTTGGGTCAAAACCCTGGTAACAGCAAGATTTGGTAATTTCTTTTGATGTACAAATAAGTAAATTACTAATATCCCCCTACCCTTGAGATTCCCTTTCAAAATGAACCAAACAAAACGGGGGGGTTACTCAAAAACGGCTATCTGGGGTTTGACCCACACCCACATGGATGTGTCGAATTCGCAGCCCCCTTGTTAGACTGGTTTGCGGGAGCAGAGGCAAATATCCAGCACGGGCGGAAGGGGGGTTGAGTTGTTTTAGGAAACCTTCACTTCCATTTGCTTAAGAATATTGTTTATTTTCCCCTGTTGGTTTTCAAGGGAATCTACCACTGCTAGAAATATGTTCATTTTTCCCAGGGGACTTCAGCAAATAGGAGTTCGTGTTCCACTGGCCTTTGGAGACAGGCCCTTGATGGTTCCCCTGATTGCGATTTTAGGGAGGGGCCCCAAGATGTTTTAAACGTGGAGAGCCATGTTCTTGATAGGAATCACCCATGTTCCACCATCCCTTTTGTTTTGGGCCTTTGAGTTTGTCTAGCCAAGAAAAAGCCCAACCCCCTGTTCGACCAGCCACTCTTCAAAGCTACCTTTTGAGGTTTCATCAACAAAAAGGACCCAGGGGCTGGTTGTGTAGACCCATGTATCCTGGTTGCTGGTTCTCTTGCTGGTTCTCAGGGGGAGGGACATAGTAGTTTCTCATATATATATATATATATGCTAAGACCCCCTCCCAATACCAAGGTTTTTGTTGTGGGGGGTCCTACCATATATATAGATAGATATATATAGATATATATTTTGTGCGATCCCATTCCCGAAAGCCCTTGCAGTTCCCTGCGTAGCAAAGTCCTTCCGCACTCCGCCGGGTTTTGCGGACGGCCGTCGCGAGGCTCCGGCGCCTGCGAAGCGGCGGCCTTTGTGCTGCTGCCCGTCTTCGCCTCGCTGCTGCCGGGGAGTCTGATGCCGGCGCGCAGCGGGCGGTTTCCGGTGTCCCAATGTCTCGAGGGGTACCAGGGTCGAAGGTTTTGGGGGGTGATTCCTTGCTTTCACCGGTTTGGGTTACCTTCCAATTCCATTCTGAACCCAGGGATTCGAATCTTTTCAGGAAACCATCAAAACACCCCAGCTTGGAAACAGATCCGGTTTTGAAAAAGAAGGATCCTGGAGCCTCCATTGCTACCTTAATTTTTGCTACGAAATACTTTTGCTCGTGACACGTTCTTCTCAAAAAAACGCTCGTATTAACATAAAGTGCTCGAGACATCCGCGCAAATGCAATTTGCTACCTGCGATTCGTAGCATTTTTTTGAATTTGCGCTCGTTTGCCCTTTTTTGCGCCGATTTGCGCTCGTTTTGCACTTTGTTTGCACATTTGTGCGCCCGTTTTGGCGGCAACTTGACCATGGGGAAGAAGAAAACACGGGCGAATGGGATTTCTGCCCGAATCGTCGAAAAGCGCTCGGAAGCGAATGGGAGGCAACAAGTGCTACGTCGAGTCAATGTTGGTATCGAACAATGGGGGAGGCAGAAATTTATGCTACGATGGAGGTTCCAGGATGGTTTAAAAGAATGGTTGGAAGGAATCAACCCCTAGAAATATTCGATCTTTGAAGCTGGTCAGGTGAGTGGTCCCAGCAAAGAGGGGAAGAAGAATGTCGACCCCATTTTGGATCAATCAACCAGTTTAATAGGTGTCCGATGTTTAACGGGCAGAAGAACGTGCGAGGGGTGAGGAAGTTTCCAGTTTCTTTTCTGTGCTTGTAGCCTACTTGCCCCTTGTGATCCTGATACAACTGTGTCGCTTGAAAGCCCAAAGCACCAAAACCTTACCTTTGGAAAACTGTCATCCCCACACATGCCTAGAAGCCGGATAGTTTTGACTCCACTGCAACACACACACACACACATTCTCGCCTGTCAAGAGTGAGATTGCGATGAATGGGCATGTCCAATAGGGTCACTGTTTTGGCTGCGGCTCCCCTTGCAGCTCTGAATCAGTAGCAGTCCTTAACTAATGACACACATTGTCTTATGATCATGACTTACTTTGGCTTCGTTTTTCTAGTGCCCCGCAGCCCTTGATGAATTCGCCCCGTATGGGGTCCAAGGGATGCCAGAAAACGGCCGCCAGGTGATGTCGCAGGGCTTGCTGATTTTCAGCATGGGCTTCAGCGCAGTGCTGCTGCAACGTCGCTACGATCTTCTGCAGGCGGAGATTGGGGACCGATACAACGGAAATGATTTCTTCCATTCTTCCTTCCTTCCATTTTTTCTTCCATTATTCCTTTCTTTTTTTCTTGCTTGCTTGCTTTCTTTCTTTCCTCAATCTCTTTCTTTCTCTCTCTCTCTTTGTGTGCCTGTGTTTCTGTCTCTGTGTCTGTCTGACTGTGCCTGTGTGTGGTTGTGCGTCTGTGTTTGTGTTTGTTTTCGAGGGTGGCTACCCCTTTTGGAAGGGCCACTGGCAAAGCGGAAGCCGATTTCGCTTGGCGGTTCCCCAAAGACGTTTCTTGCAACTTGTGCTTGGCGGAACCTGGTGTTTTTGTTGTTTTTTTGACATGGGTGTGTCGTGCTTTGAGGGTACCCCCTTGTTTTGGGGAATCAAAGGGAAACCAAGGCAAAAAAGAAGCATTTTGGGGGTAGCCCCAAAAAGAGACGCACCCAAATTGGTTTTCTGGTCAGGCCTGTCATGCCAGTTGCTCAGCTCGTTTTGCGGAGATGCTGGGATTGCTATTTTTTGTTCATGTTCCTGAGACCCCGGACAACAGTGGACAACTCTTGCGTAGCCTGAAGTGCAAAGCGTGACAAGGCGTGAAGTCGTGAAGTCATGTGAGAGGCAGCTTCAATATTCACCGTCATTTACTGAAGGGGGCAACAATGACCACACTCACCAGGTGTGGGTGTGGGGATCAGGCATCAAATTCCCGTGCCAGCAGGGGGACATGACTGTTGGCCATGTTTACGCGTGCCAAGGGAATGACCATGGCCGTGGGTCACACGTGAGACCGTTCCATCGGATGCAGGTTTGAAAAGGTGGGCCGGTTTGTCCTTTGTTTCTCCTTCTTTGGGCTCGAAGCTGCATATGTGCATGAAAGGTTAGGTCAGATGGCTTGGCATGCGTTCCTGGATCAAGCTTGCACGGGATTCGATTGATCAAGAGTCAGCTTGCAGCTCACCTGTTGCAAAGCCGAACCCAGAGTCAGCAACTGCTTGACTGCACTCCAGCCACGGCACGAGGCTTAGACAAGGTTTGGCCTTCCCTTCAAACTCAGGCCTTCCGAAACAGCTTTCTTTTTGACTCAGCATGTTCTTGGCAGCTCCACCACCCGTTTTTTCCCCCAACGATCCCTGACTCCGGTTCTTGTTTTGCAGGTCCACCCGTTTTCTCCCCAAACAAATTACCGACGAACCAAAACTTCCGGCCTGAAGGCCAAAGAAAGGTTCGGAGAGCCAAGGGCATCCTTGTCTTCCGCGTATGCCGCGGCCGGCGCGGCATGGCGTACGCATCCCACATGAATTACTCGCCCATGCAGGCGCGCGGTGCTCGCGGTTTATTGGGGTTCCTGAGTGCGCAGCTGGAGTTGCTCCATGAAAAAGCTATCTTCGATGTGGCAGATCTTGGGCTCGACTCCTTTTGCCGTTCGCACAGCTGCACAGCTGCCTGTCCTGATGCGGAATGCAATGTATTGTCTACTGTATCAGCCAGGACTTGTCCCGAAGCTAGTCTCATTTCTAGTTGCTGAAAGGAATGCATTAATCCAAAGATTTGGATCCCATGATCCAGGAAACAGCTGGGACCAAAATGACATCAGCCAGTGAAGGCAGTCATGTTTCAACAAATGTCAATCTCGCTTTGGTGAAGTAGCCATATCTGGATGCACTGGACGTTGCCAGTGGCGATTCGAGGTACTCAGGTTTTGTGTTTTTGCCACGCTGGTTTGCTGAACTTAAGGGACACCAAAAGGAACACGCCAATTTTGTGGGTTCCACCATTTGGCCGTGGCTCAAAAAACCGGTACCACAATGGAACCCTGGTAAGTGGAAACATGGACCAACACCTACGTAACATCTCGTGTTTAATTTTGAGCCACACCGACTTTGAGACCAAAACGTCCACTCGGTGCTCAAGTCTACCCCAGAATTAGCTCCCCTTTTTGTGTTGTTTTTTGCTATTTTGGGGTCCGTTTGTTTTCCACTGACCAAGCAAAAAAGATATATGTTTTTGCTGGGGTCCTAATTCTAGCCTAGAAGTCTCACGCCTTGGCAGGTCAAGTCCACAGCTTTAGTGGATGACCTGGGCAGGGAGGTCGCCCGGAAGGATAAATTCGGGCCACTCGGCGATGGATTTTCTCGTGTGCGGTGTCGGTTTAGTTGGGCAAGGCTCCTTAAAAGATGCATTTGCCAATTTGAAACATGGCTTTTTCCACCAAAATGAAGGGAGTTTTAAAGAGACTCCAAAAGGAAAACCCGTCCATTTTGGGGTCTTGAAAGAAGCCTCACCCATATACCATAAAGTTGCCATAAACAAGGGAGCCCATGTTTCCCATGGCCACTGGGCGTCGCGGGAAAGGATGCCGGGATTTTGTGGCTTCTTGTCATGAAGTTATCTTGCCAAAAGCGCCCTTGATACCGGTACATCCTTGTTGGTGTCCTGGGTTGTGGGGCAGGCGTTTCATGGTCTCAGCCGTTTTCGCCAAAGGTGAGGCCGGTTTGCTGGAACACCCTGCGCCAGGTTTTGCAGTCAGTATCTGGAAATGTTTGGCTGTTCAGACTGGTCGTGTCGATCAGAGCGAGATGGGCGGAGTGAAGCCAGCCAGGCTTTCTAGGTCCCCCAGTAGTGCCCTTTTACCCTTTTTTGGCTGGGAGGGTTCCCCATACTAAAATAGACTACAGAAAAAAGAAACGGTACCCTTATTCTAGCCTCTCTACTGAAAGACCTAGCTTTTGCTTGTGAGCTTGCCCCATGCTCCAAATATCCTCCAAGCTCATGAACTGCCAATCAATCAGTGGGCCAGAGGTTCTGATTGCGGCACTCTCCGCAGATATTTTTTTCCGCACTCCGCCGCTTTTTGGTCAGGCGCTTCCAGAAAAACAAGTCGCCTCCGCGAGAAGCTGTTGCCTAGTAGCCATCAAGACACTGGGTTTGAGGCCGTCTGGTGCTAAAGTTGCTCATATGGCTGTGGCTCAAAAATCGGTGCCCAAAATAGAACCTTGGCATGGTAAGTGGAAACATTGACCAAAACCTGCGTAGCCCCTCCTGTTTAATTTTGAGCCACACCCATATGTTTATTCGGGCGTGATTGCGGTTGAACATGTTTTGCGCGGCCACATTGGCCTTTCCAGCTTGGAAAAATAGAAGAGAACATGGGACTTAAGCAACTGGAAGCATTGGGGAAAAACTCAATCTTTTCTAGGGTACCTTACCCCTTCTTTCCAGGGATCCTTCTTTCTAGAACACCTCCAGAAACCCAGGTTGAACACGGCTAGATGTTGAAAAGAACGACGGTTGAAAAGAATGTTGAAAGATGGTGCCCTTTCTCCCCCTATTTTGGTTGGAGGGTTCCCGTACTAAAATAGACAACAGAAAAAAGAAGCGGTACCCTTATTCTAACCTCTCAAATCTGGAGGGCCTGGTATTGTAAGGTTGGATGTGATTTTCATGTGATTGGCTCTATTTTAGCGCCAACAATTTCCATGTGATAGGCTCGGTGTGATTGGCCAGAGGACTTAGGGAAAGCTCCATTTCTCTTTCGGCTGGTTCAGGTGCCACCGCCTTCCAACTTTCCAGCGGGTGAAGCCCAACAAGCGCGCGGTCTCGGAGCTCTTCAAGGCGATCCCTCCGCCCTCACAGCTCGCGAAAACGCGCTCGAGGAAAAATCGGCGAATCGGCCCTTTTTGGGGGGCGTGGGACCGATTCTTCTAAGGTTTTTTGTAGTACAGCCTGGGAATACACCCACTGGGTATTGACCCCATTTAGGCGCATGTCCGGATAAAGCCGTGTTATGTTGAACCATTCAGGGTCATTTCCCAAGGGTGTAATCCCAGGGTGTAATACCAAAACCCTCAGACAATTGCGCAGTGGACGACGTTTTTCGGAGGGCGCAAGTGGAGAACTCGGGAGACCCTCCCCTGGTTGGATACTGCATGTTGTGATCATGAGGGCAAAATTCAGTCTGCTGGCTGCCTGTGATGTTCAATCAGTTTTGTTAGTTCATCGGGTTCTGCACTCCCCACGTCCCTTGAAGGTACCCTCCCCTTCGGGACGGGTCTTTGAAAGGGATGCCGGCACGAGGGAGCGGACATCCCCGAGTCAAGCATTGCCAAAACGACCTCCGGTGGTGCTCTTTGTCCTTGTTGGGGTGTGTCCCTTCAAAATCAACTGCCAGATTATCAAGCCAAGGTTTCCTTTTTCCCAGGGCAGGAGGTCTGGGATTGGGAGATTCTGGGCGTAGTACAATGAATCTCATGCGTCCGTGAGCGGCAGTGTCTCTGTGAACTCAAGCTGTGGGCCGAGGCAAGGCAACGTTTTGGGTTCATGCCCCGATGCACTCCCAGATATGAAGGTAGTGGCCAGGTTCACCAGGTCCTGCTAGTGGTACAGCATGTTCCCTTCGCTGTCAAATTCGTTTTGACTAGGTTGGTCCGAAGCCTTTCTTGCCATGATGATGCTTGGCGGCTGACTCGGACTCATCACAGTTTCTGGCACACAGTGTGACACATGTGCCGTAACTTACAACTAGGATGTGGGTTCTGTGCTAGCTGGACCGAGTCCCGCTTGGTGTTGTGTTGGCATTCATGTCGAGTTGTGGGTGATAGGTTCACTGTGAAAGCCCAAATCACTCGGGGAGCGCGTTCTGCGCTTGGTTTATAGAGCAGCGGCCTACCTTCCGCCGGGTGTTTTCCGGGCGGGTCATTCGCTTGGCAGTTTTGTTGGCTGCCCGTCCAGGCCGATGACTGTGTAATGTTGACCCACCACTAATAATCCTGTCCGGGTCCCAGTCCCAGTATTCGGGGGGACTTCCCTCCAAAAGTGATGAATCCCCACTAAAAGGGGACATGCCCCTATTCATCAACCAGGGGTTCATTAATCCGGGGTTAACATCATGTCACTTGCAAACTTGCTTGTGGGCGAGCGCTTCGGATTCAAGCTTGCAAGCCTCAGCTTGGTACCGGCACTGGCTGAAACAGATGTTTGGGACTGGTTTTGCCCTCGCTTCAGCGCCATTTTGTCGGCATTTGGCTCGGGTGCCGAGTTTTGCTGCTTGACTTGAACATAGCGTTCGCACTGTCCAAGCAAGAAAGCCCAACGGACTGAGCAGTGCAAACCCCAAAGACCCTGGATAAGAGAATAAATAGGCATCCCTGCTCGGTAGTTAGTCTTGGACAAGGCAACTCTCGGTGCCAGGATGCCAAGCGGAAAGAGGAGATGGTTGGCAAGGCCAGCTGATAGCAGATGTGGGTATGGGTCAAGATTAAACCACCAGGGGACCGCAGGTTTTGGTCCATGTTTCCACTTGCCAGAGTTCCATGTTGGGTACATATTTTTGACCACAGCCATATCGTGAATCCTTCATTCCACTGATAGCTGTAGGTGGAGATTGTGCGTTTATGTCTGTCATGTCGCTGCATGTCAAGCTTTGATGTCGGCGTGGGTTCAAACTATGAGCCCCTTGCAAATAGCACAACTTTCCTTTTGGAACCCTTTTGAATACCAAAGACGTCATCGACGGGCTGTCCGTTTCTTCAGACTCGCATGCTACCCAGGTGGGGCTTGATCAAAATCGTCAATTAGATGGGAAACAGACAGTTACCCATGGTCACGATGGGGGCAGGGATATTGATCAACCTCCATGTGTCTCCAGGCTGACCCCATCCATGGCAACATCTACACCTACTGGGCGTTCCATGAGGTTTTGCAGCAGCACGGGCTGATCGATCCTCAGGCGGGTTGGTTCCAAGAGCGTGAGCGGAAGAAAAATGGAGGTGCAAGGATTCACCTACTTCGACTGAAAAGACCGCCGACTTCTAAGATGACATGGAGGGCAGGGAGTGGCCTTAAGGTAAACCCCAAGTGGCTTGTTGATCCATAGTTAAACCGAGATGGGAAACCCTGTTTTCGAGTTGTTGGGGTAAGGAGAGCGAAGCGAAACAACAAACCTTGGAGCCAAGGCGCCAGCTTCTCCCTCATCCATTTGCTTAAGAATATTGTTATATTCCCTTGCCGGTTTAAAGGGAATCAATTTCACTACTATATCCCAGGGGTCTTAACCAAATGGAAGGAAGCGAAACAACACACGTCGGAGCCAAGCGTCGCTTGCGGCAGCTCCGAACTTCCGGTATCGGCAGGCCTCCAAGAGCAAAGTGCTGCAGGTGGGCCTCCTGTTCGTCATGATCGCCCTGGCCCAAGCGATGTGGCCGTGGTCAAAGCTCTGGTTCATCCCATGTTGGTTGGTAGGTGAATTCACCATCCATGTTTAGAACCTATTTGAGTTGGGATTGGGATGTTCACTGGGGGTACAGGATTTTGACCCATGGACATTTGAGTCCGATCGAGGATTTGTCAAGGCGAAATTCGAGGGAATGCACCCAATGTTGTTCGGCTGGAAAGCGAACGGCAGGTGACTCAGAGTCAATGAAGCCCACAACCGACGTCAACAGACGTGGATAGTCGAAATTTCAGATCATGGAAGCTCTCCTAAAGAGCCACACTGAATCGGGCATCCCTCAGGTGGAGATTTGATGTTCGCATGTGTGTGTGTGTGTGTGTTTTGTTTCTTTCTTTCTTTTTCTGGGTGTTGTTAACAAAAATACACCCAACAATAAATTCAGAGGGATGAAACAAAGCGGTGTCAAGAAGTTCTGGGTTCTCCCCTCCCTGCTTGGTTGTCGGGCGGAACTCTCGTGCGGAATGCAACTTAAGAGGACGTCGTATGCCCGGCGACTTGTGAAGGCTGACTCTCGAGACGACCTTAGCTGTGCTCACGTTTGACCCTTGGGTTCATAGGTGTCCTTTTTAGGTTAGTTTGATTAAAAATAGATGGCACTGGTTTAGATGGGGTTTCTTCCATTTACCAGGGCCATCTATGTTTCCAAAAGGCCACCTATGCTAGCCTATGCGTGAGTTCCTGTGGAATCGTTGGGGCAAGCTCTCCCGAAAGGTCCTAAAGAGGGGGCTGGGTCCTTTCAGCTGAATTGTATTTAGCGACAGCCCGAGGACAACCTTGTCTCTTTCGCAAACATGAAAACGCCATTATGATGCTTCTATCCGCTGGTGATTCGCTTGTTTTCAGGCCGCTGGGTGATATCCATCTACTCTTTGAGCAATGCTTCTAGGGGTACCTTCCCCATTCTTTCCAGGGATCCTTCTTTCCAGAAAACCTCCAGAAACCCAGGTTGAACACGGCAAGTTTTGAAAAGAACGATGATTGAAACGAATGGAAAAGGAATCAACCCCTGGAATGCTTCAATGCTTGTCAAGCGATGCTGCTCCAAATGGCCTGGGTCTCCTCTTAACATGTCGTGCACACCCAGATGTGAGGTGCTTGGTTCCCGACAAGATCAGGGGTTACCTGGTTGGATTGGGATGTTCACTGGGGGTACGATTTGGCTTTTGACCCATGGCCATATGTTGGTGCCGTGGCACCGTTGCGGAAGCTGTGGATGCCCGAGGTTCAAGTCCTGGGACCGCCGGCGATCCTGATTTGGAGCATTTATGCCAACTGCCCAGCATGCCGAATTGCGCAGACACCCCATCCACTAGCTGGGTGAATTATGACGACCTCACACGACCGAATTCACTCCAAATGGTGGTTAACCCCCCCAATCACCTTATTCTTAGGTTAATGAAATATTATATTTCACTCAGACTAGCATGCAACCTGACTGAGGGGTCCTGGAAGTCTGTTTTCCTTTGACATGGACCAATTCTCTGGTGCGATCCATGGCAACGTGGACAGGAGGGTAGGTCGCGCAAGACATTTGGGCGGTGTCCTTTGGAGTCCATGTTCTCAGCTGGATCCTGTGCTCAGAGCTCCTCGTCGCCTTTTGGGGGAAAAAGAAAACCACTGAAGGCCATGGTTAAATGAGCTTCCTTTTGGCGCACTGTAGGGCAAAAGTGAGTCACAATCAAAACCCGGGTAAGTGAAGGTAAGGGACAGTCCCAACCCTAAATAGTTGCGGATCTCCGCCTTCTTAATTCTTGAAGCCTGGTTCTGGGTCGACCATTTTAATTCCGATCGGTTTTGATTGTCACTCATCGAACACCATTTCTGCTGCTGCTTTCCCCGAGAGTGGCTTCCAATGGTCTGGGCGGCTCATGTTTTTTCTCCGAATCTTGCTGTTTTGGCTGATGTCCTCAGGCACTGCCTGGAGGTGAAAAAAATCCTCACCCTCCCGCCGAGTTTGAAGGATGCCCAGCTGCCTTGCAAGAGGATTCCACAGATATGAATGCACCTCTTAGTGTACTTCAACAAGAAGCGTGAAGTCCTCGTCAGGCGCCGATTTTTTTGGCGACGCCACTGGAGCCCTGAGGCGATCAACTGGTCGCAGGCCAAAATTGGCCTGGGCTCCTGGCAATACCAATACGGCTGGGGGCCTCAGCCTGACACAGGGTTGGGCAACAACGGCTTAAGCAACCAAGCCAGGTGCACCTAAGCGATCCAAAAGGATGATGGTTAAACAGCATGTACGTTGGTGCATTTTGCTTGGATGTTAGGACTTTAACTTTTTGCAAACTACTGTTGTTGTTTTTTTTACTAAACCCCTAAAAGTTAAGCTTTTAGCAGGGGAGCCGAAAGCAACCGAGATTTGTCTTTATACCTTTCGATCTTCAGCGGATCACCATCTCTTTCGGGGTTGACGGTTGACGCCCGACCTGAAGCTATCAGAGAGAGGACGCTGGCGTCATGCAGCTGCCAAGTCTCGGTAGTTCTTGTAGCCCGCAGTCCACTTTAGTCCAAGCCTTTCTGAGCTTCTGGGACAAGATTTCTGAGATTTTTGGCTTTGTCCTGAAGTCTTTCTTCACTGGGCCAGGACCACAATCTCACAAAAGGCTTTCGGATTCTACTTTGTGGCTTCTTGGTTCGATCTTTGGACTTTAACTGTTTGGGAAACGTGGATTTTCCATTGGACGCACAATAAGATAAGCATTTTGCAGAGGATGAGGAATCTATTGCCACGAACAGTGCCAAGCCGGCTTTGCGTCTCGTGCATGTTGAACTGGCATGTGGGTGTGGGTCAAAAATAGATATCCAAACTGGAACCCTGGTAAATGGAAACAAGGACCAAAACCTGCGGTCCGATTCCTGGTGGTTTAATCTTGACCCATACCCATGTCTCCCGCTCACTCATGGCGGGTCGCTTTGTTGCCCTACTTGACATGAGAGGCATGCGAGAGGCTCTGCTGGAAGGCCAAGCGCTTGGTTCCAGTTTAGATTGCTGGACACCTTCGCATGTGGGTGTGGCTCAAAATTAAGCAGCTGGGGTTGCGCAGGATTTAGTCTACCTTTCCCATTTATCATGGTTCCGTTTTGGAGCCCCCTTTTTGAGCCACACCCATGTGTCTCTGGTTACCTGCCGTAATGGCCGGGCGTACGATGGTTTCAACATGTCTCAATCCAAGCAAAGCTGATTTATGCAGCAAGGCCCATCGTGAACTGAACATAGCTCCAGATCGGTATGATCCCAAGGCTGTGT